AAGTCATGTAAATGCTTTATTATGTTTGATATGTTGGTATTTTTTGAAAAAGATATGATTGGATAACTAATTAAAAAATTTGCAATTATTTTAAAAATAATCAAAAAATTTACTCTGAAAATGAAGAATTATTTTCATCCTCACCATTTTTATCAAGTGTTGCAAGCATATATTACAAAAGACTTTATTTGCAGCAACACTAGTTCTCTTATTATTTGTGTCAGTTTTTAATATTAAGGATCCAAAATGTTTCCATGCAAAAGAAAGTTTAGATTGCAATGCAATGATATATTACTGCATTTTGTAGGGTATTGCGATGCTGCATCCATTATAATAGTTTTAGTCTTGCTACGTTTATATAAGTTATAATGGCAATAAAACAAAAATCATTAATTGAAATTTCCTTTTATGATAAAAACTAAATATTATGTGATGAGTTGTAGATTACATTAAGAAAATATTGTTTTACCCCTTATATAATAACGTAAGGTCTTATCCAAATATTTAAGGTATCAAAAATTAAAAAAATAAAATATATAATGTTTCAATACCTTTGCTGTAAATTACTAGCCTAATCTTATTTTATCTAGCACGCTGGTCATACATCTGCCCAAAGTGGGCGAACATGTATTATATGGATTGTTACAAATCAAATGATTTTATCAGAGTTGTTAAAGTAGCGCGCTATTTTTTGGGAGTTATAGCTAATAGCGGCTACTTTTTTGTAATTATTTAATTTTTTAGCGCGCTACTTTTTTTTGAGAGTAGCTAAGTAGCGCGCTACTTAGCAACTAAAAAATATAATGAAGGTAAGTAAACATGAAAATTTAAAATCATAATTAATTATAATTTTTATGATTTATTATTTAATTTTAAAATTAAAATATATTTTCAATTTGTAATTTATATTTTCATTTGTATTATAAACCTAAATCACGTGTTAATAATTTAAAATGCCATCGCCTATAGTTATCCAAATCGTTGAAAGTGATTCAGACAATGATATTAATGAAATGGAACAGAGAAAATGTTCTTTATATAGTACAAATTTCCCATTCCCTAGATTTTAAAAATTTTTTTAAATAAATATAAAAACCAAAACTGGCTTCAAATCTATTTGTTTAAAATGTAAAAAAAAATATTTACTCAAATCAATCCAGTAGCTATAACCTCAAGAAACACCTAAAGGTAAATTGTAATTTTTACATTCTAATAGTATATTTTTACTATAATTATTTCTTATTGATTAATTGCCATCAATTTATATACAGTACAGGGAATTCAATGTATTCATTTGATAAAATATTTTTGCTTAGTTACATCTTAATTCCTGAGGTTCAAAATTTAGAATACTTGCCAAATGATTTTTCCACTCCATTTTCGATAAATATTACTACACATTTCTTAAAACTGGATGAATAATTTGTCCTATTTAATATGAATATATAATATTTGGTGAGGATAATGCTGAAGATGAGATACAGAATGATAGTCAACATGTATTGAAGAGGAGGAAATAAGTGATGATGCCATTGATATTAATAGTCTCACCCCAAACAAAGATGGCTGAATTACAACCATGAAGACTTCCACTAATAATTTTTTTTAAATAAAAGAATAATAGAAAATCTACTCGACGCCTTCTTTACATCAAAAAAATACTCAAATGAGTTTTTTGATAATCTATCTTATTTTAAAAATATGTATATAAGATTAAATACTCCCTTGCCCTCAAGTGTTAGTGTAGAGAGATTATTTAGTAAGGCAAAACTTATACTTTCTGATCGTCGCTCTAGACTTGAAGATGATAATATTGAAATGATTTTATTATTAAAATGCAACAAATTACCATAAATATTTATTTTTACTACATAAATTTTTTATAATCAAAACTAACTATATTTTAATATTTATAAAAGTTGATTTTTATATATTTACTATACAATATCATTATAAGTAAAAAATAAAATAAACTTGTTTACAAATTTTTTTTATGAAAAGTAGCTTAAAATTACTTTTAAAGAATAGTAGCTAATAGCGGGCTACTTTTTTTGACAAATAGCGATAGCGCACTATTTTTTAACAAATAGCGATAGCGGTAGCGCGTTACTTTTAAAAGTAGCGTTTAGCAACTCTGGATTTTATAACAAATAATATTTTATTTATTAATTTTAAAAAATAAAATCGCATTTTTTAATAATTCAAGCAATATTTTATATTATTTTTCCTCTAATTATAATAAATATATAAAATAAATATTATTTTTAATAATAAAAAATATGTATCACGCCACCGCGCCACCGAATTTTTACATCGGCCGCGGCATGTTAAGCGCCGACACCTTTATGGCTGCGACGTCGGCGTGGTCAAAATTCAACGGCGGCGGCACACATGTCTAAATATAACAAAACTTTGTAATCAAGCGCTCCTGTGGAGAGCTTGTTTAGTAAAGCTAAACATGTGCTAATGATAATAACTTAGAAAAATTATTATTATTAAAGGCTAATTTTAATTATAAATAAATATATTCTAATTGTTATATTATATTATTCAATTACAATAAATTTACACCATATTTAATTTATTTTTATATTAGTTAATTTTGCATTAATCAAAAATTTCTTCAGAAATTTAAATAAGGATCGTGATCCTTTTTTTTAAAAAAAGTTGCTCCTGGATTTCGATCCTTTTTTTGAATAGATCGTGAAAAGGATTCGATCTTTCAAACCTGACAAACACATTTGATTTATAAAATGGTTGGTAGAAATAGATAGCCATAGAGAAGAGATATAAGAGCAGTTGTTAAAGTAGCAGCGCGCTAACTTTTTTGGTAGCTATAGCTAATAGCGGCTACTTTGTTTATAATTATTTAATTTTTTAGCGCGCTACTTTTTTTGAAAGTAGCTAAGAAGCCGCTATTTCGCTACTTTTAAAAAATATAATTAAGGTAAGTATAAACATGAAAATTTAAATATAATATAATATCAAAATTAATTATAATTTTTATGATTTATTATTTAATTTTTAAATTGAAATATAATTTATATTTTCATTTGTATTATAAACCTAAATCATGAGTTAATAATTTAAAATGTCATCGCCTATGGATATCCAAATCGTTGAAAGTGATTCAGACAATGATATTAATGAAATGGAAGATACCAGGGAATAAAATGTTCTTAATAGCTATAATACAAATTTCCCATTCCCTAGATTTGAAAATTTTTTAAAATAAATATATAACCAAAACTGAGTTCAAATTTATTTGTTTAAAATGTAAAAAAAAATATTTCCTCAAATCAATCCAGTAGCTATAACCTCGAGAAACACTTAAAGGTAAATTGTCATTTTTACATTCTAATAATATTTATTTTATAAGACTGTTCATGAGTTGTAAGGAAATGGAGAAACATCTAAATAATTTTGGTATAGGCGACTCTACATCCAAAAAGACTAATTCAATTCAAACCAAATTGATAATGCAAATGACAATATTTCTCAGAAAATTGACTGATAAAGTTATTGTTGATTTTATAATTTATACAGTTCAGCAATGTCCTTAGTTGAATCCATCATTTACCTGATGCCGCCAGACACTAATGAATAAAATAGCAGATAACTTTAAATGATGAAAGATGCTCTAATAGTAGAGTTATCGGAGATTTCATATATATGTACCACGGGAGATAGTTGCACATAACAGAAGGTAAAAACTTATTTTTATTTATAAATTGATCTGATTAAATATTTTTGAGCTTATTTGGGAATCACAGGCCATTGCTAGACCCTAGAACTTTAAAAAGAAGATCTGTGGCATTAGCCAATGATAATAGGATGCCAGACATACGATGTACTTTCAAATAAAATTATTGATAATCTATCTTATATTAAAAATATATATATAAGATTAAATACGCCCTTATTCTCAAGTGCAAGTGTCGAGAGATTATTTAGTAAGGCAAAACTTATACTTTCTGATCATCGCTCAAGACTTGGGGATGATAATATTTAAATGATTTTATTATCAAAATGCAACAAATTACCATAAATATTTATTTTATTACATAAATTTTTTTATAATCAAAACTAACTATATTTTAATATTTATAAATGTTGATTTTTATATATTTACTATACAATAACGTTATAAGCAAAAAATAAGAAATTTGTTTGTAAATAGCTTAAAAAGTAGCTAAATATATCTAATAGCAAGCTACTTTTTTTGACAAATAGTGATAGCAGTAGCACGCTACTTTTTTTTAACAAATAGCGATAGCGGTAGTGCACTACTTTTAAATGTAGCGTTTAACAACTCTGGACAGGCCTGATTTTTCATAAAATTTTTATGAGCTAAACATATTTAAAACAGGTCAGTCCAGGCTGGGCAAATCATAAAAAAAATATAATGTGTCGGGCTAAAAAACTTGTGCAAAAAACTTTAATGAACCAAAGTTGGCCAAGCTTTACATACCTCTAGCACAGACAACATGTCTGACACCTACAATAATGATAATATTACTCTAATTCAAAAAATGCTTAACATCAGATCAATCATACTTTTTTTTAATTTTTTTAGTTTTAAGCAAATATATGAGGATCATTATGTTATTTAATCTTCCTTAGGTGTGTAAACTTGATTAGCCATATTATTATAAAATCATTTATAAAATAAAAAAAATTATATGATACAATCATAAATATGTAAAAATTATAAAAAATATTTGATCAAATTAGTTTTTAAAAAAATATCAGCCCAAGCCAATATTTTTGAAAACATATAATATTGGTGCTAATCCAAACCAATATTTAATAAAACATTAAATATTCATTTTAATATTTTTTTATTTGAAGATAGTTAAATTTGGTTGAACAACAAAAATATTTAAATTTGATTTATAATTAAAAAAATTTTAATTGCTAATATTGAAAAGGCAGTTTATTAAATTTAATGTAAATAAAAGGATCAAGCTTGTTTTTAAAAGAATTTCTTTTTAACATACTTGGTCCATCATTATTTAAAAAATCTGTAACACATTTTTCAGTGAAATTATATTCCTTTATGTTAGGTAACAATGCTTTTTGTGAATTAAGATATCTGAAGCATGTGTCTTCCAATTTTGGGATAGGAAGTCTAGGCAGACTCGCTTGAAAATGATTGGTTGGAATAACACTATCAGCCAAATATTCATAATGAAGTTGATTAGCATCTTTTACAAATGTTTTAACTATGCATCCTTTGCTGAAATTAAAAATAAAAGTAGTTTAATTATAATATCAAATATAATTTCAATAAATGAAAATTAATCCTACAATTAATGGATCTCACATCTAAGATATTTTAAAGTTATAGATTATTAGTTTCATTTTTTATATTAATCCCAGTTAGAATGTTTATAATCATATATAGTTTAATAATTAAGGAAATATTAGAATATTTCATTACATTAAAAATTATATTTAACATAGATTAAAATATAAATATTTGTAAATACTCACGGACTCATTTTTGTACGAAATGAAAAAATCGATTTCGATATCATATTTAGGAATATACTACAGTTTTCTAAAATAAGAAAAATTTTATGTCAATATTTATCCGACACGCCATATTTTACATAACATTAACAGAAATAAGATAGTTGACAAATTAGAATGTCAATTATTATATTCTATAATTTATATAAAGTTGAATTTTGAAAATATTTAATAATAATATTCCAAAAATGATGAAGGATATTATAAGCTATCTATTATTTTATCATATTTTAAATAAAAACCCTAAGGTCTTCTTTTCATTCATCTAAAAAAGGTTAGATCTACCATTGTTGAGATACCATGCATAATAAAATTTATTATGTATGTATTAAAGATATCTGTAAATTATAGAAATATTTAACATTTCAACTAAATTATATTTAATTTTAAAGATACATTACATGAAGAGCATGAAAATAACTAACATAATTTTGATTTTTGCAACAAATTAAAATTGGCTGCTATAGAATATTCTGAAAAAAGTAATCAATGTATAATCAAATCTTAGCCTGAAATTGTAATAATATCAATTAACCTCAAAGGCAATTAATAATATGAAAAATTATATTCAAATACATTGTTAATTATATATGATGATTAATTGGTATATTTAGATTGATTTGTACAAAATATATTAAGATGGTTAATAATATAATAAATTGTTCAATAATAGTGAAATATGTCTAAAGTTTTCTAAAGTAAGTAATTGTTTATTTTATTATTAAATTAATAATTTAATTTCATATAATATATTTTAAAATTTTACATTTTTTTATCAAACTAAAAAATCAGGTTTATATAACAATTTTTATATTAATATATCAAAATTTATATAAAAAAATCAATCTACACAATTTATATCAACATAAAAAAAACAATTTAAAGGTTAGTATTAATCGGTCATATCAACAATGTCATTGACGCAGTTTCAAATGGAGAAACTTAATATAAAGCAGTGCGAGATGCAGCGTCTACATAACAGAATTTTCACTGGATGCAAACCCCTTTCAAAAACCTTTGTCTACCCCCCTAAAAAAATTTGCCGCCTACCAAATATCAATATTTTGTAAATATAAAGGATTTATTTTGTAAATATAAAGGATTTATTTTGTGAATATAAAGGATTTATTTTGTAAATATAAAGGATTAATTTTTATAAATACAAAGGATTTATTTTATAAATACAAAGAGATTTATTTTGTATATACAAAGGATTTATTTTGAAAATACAAAGAATTTATTTTGTAAATATAAAGGATTTATTTTTTAGATAAATTCAATTAAAACCTCGATTATTTACAATGAATTCATTATTATAGCATTATGATCTTGATAAAATATCTAAACCTTTTAAATTACAATGAAAAGGATAGCAGAATTTGGAAAACAATGTATATGATTGTTTGCAATATATAGATTTGGTCGATGAATTGTATTATAATAGTTCTATAATAAAAATATTAATTTCTACAGTAATAAATTTGTCCTATTTTATCTCAAATTTAATAGATAACCCCAAAAAATTTTTATCCTACCCTCTACCCTCCTCAAAAAAATAGGATGCAAACTGTTCCTACCCCTCCCGCTCATGTAGAGGCTGGCGAGATGGAAGTTTATTTATCAAAGATGGAATTTATTTTTAAAATCACCAAAATAGAAGTAAAAAAACCATTTTTATTAGCAAATATTAGACTATAGGTTTATTCAAAATTATTTACTTTGTGTTTGCCAAAGATATTTAATGAAATATCATGATGTTATAATTAAACTTTTAAAAAAAATATTAAGAAAATGAATTTTATGCTAGAGAGATATTATTTTTTTTTAAACGGAACAAGAAAAAGGAGAAACGATTACAGAATATATAAATTAAAGATAAAAGCAAATATATGTCATTGGTTTAAAAAGATGTATAATACAGTATTGCGGGATAAATTAGTGTCGGGAATTACTAATGAAAAAAAATTAATAAAATTAATCAACACGCCAGACTTAACATGGCAAAGGGCTGTACAAATCGCTACCTCAATGGAGACAACGGAAATGATATCGTATGAAAAATTATCTGCAGGAAAGGAGTTAAATAAAACGGCAAAAACAGTAACAAGGGAGCAGTATGGCAAATATAAACCAGTATCAGAAATTATTTGTTATTGTTGTGGATTAGAAAACCATATAATATCAAAGTTCCCAAATTTAAATGCAATTTGTAATAAATGTGGGATAAAAAGACATATACAGAAGGTATGCAGAAGGAATCGTGGTAAGGAGGAATATATTCGAACGATAGATGTCACAGTAAAGGAGCAAGAAAGTTTTGAGGACTGGGATTCTCCAGAGGAATCTCGAAAAAAATTTGAGGTGAAATTATTGATGGATAAAATATTTATTAATTTTTTAATTGATACAAGATGGGCAGTCACCAATTTTAATATAGAAGACGTTTAACGTTTAAAATACTAGTAATAAAAACGGATACGGCGGCGTTTCTTTTTTTTAAAACAATCGGCTGGCGGGGGCGAATCGATTTAGACGTCCCCACAAAAATCGATGGAGGCGCGGCGGCGTCAAATATCTTTCTAACTTAAATTTTTTTTAAATTAAAATTATAAATTTCGAAACACTTTTAAAATAAAATTTATGCTATATTATGTTTTATAACTATAATTTAATGATTTTATTTGTAATAATTATCATGTATAAATATTATTTTATTTAATAGGATATAATAATGATATTTTAGAGTACAGAGTACGTTTAGATATGGATAATAAACATAACTTCATCATTACCTATTTATGGTAATCTTGAGAAACAATTAGGAACAACATTGTATTTTCCGGTTTTATACTTTATGTTGAAATCATAACTTCCTAAAGTTATATTCCATTTTTTGAAGTCTTAAGGACATAGTACTGTTGTCCTTAAGTCCTTTGGTAAATATATGGACTAGGTGTTTATGGCCAGTGATTATTGTAAATAGAGTCCTAATTAAGTATACCTGGGACCTCTTTATAGCAAACATAATAGAGAGAGTCTCACGCCCAATATTGGTGTAATACATTTCGGATTTTAATAAGGTTCTTGACGCAAAAGCTATTGGTTTTCTTTGCCGTCTTTTTTTAGTATGAAATAATACAGCTGCCAAACAACATTTAGATGCATCAGTTGCAATTCAGGATTAAAATATGTCAAACCTAAAGAAAGACTAATCAACACTTTAGATGGTTAAAACTTCTAGAGTATTATAAATTCCATGCCCACTTTTCTTTATTGTTTTGTATAAAGGATCATCAATTTCCGCAAAGTTGTTTAAAAATTTTCTATAGTAGCCAGCTATTTCGAGAAATGTTGGTGGATCAGCAGCCAATTTTGGTTCTAGCATGTTTATTATTGCTTCAATTTTGTCATGAATATCATAAATCCCCTTGGCGTCTTCATGACCCAGAAAACGAATTTCAGTTTTGAAAAATAAGCTTTTGGCAAAATTAGATACTAAACGATGTGATATTATTCTTTCAAAGACTTTTTATACTGTTTAAATGTGCTTCATATTCAGTTATAAGTAACTCATCAATATAAAATATGACGACTTTCATTCACGAAACATTATATCCATAATTTGTTGAAAGATTGCAGATGATATCTTTAGCCCAAAAGGAAGTCTGGTAAATTGGTAGTATCTGTGTGTGGATGTTGTAAAAATATTTTTACAACTTTTATTAATGGGAATCTGTAGAAAAGCATTTTTGAAATTGATCTTACTAAATTTATTCGGTCTGTTAGTCATTTTGAATTCACAGATTTTAATCAGTTTTTTTTATTTCTTCTTCATAATTAGTGTCAATGTTTGCTATGAACTTGTTCAAGATATTTTTGAAAGCTTTAATCCATGAACGTCCTAATAATGGATTTTTTCTTGATTTAACAATAACTACTTGTAATTTTTTAGTGATACCTTCATAACTTACTTTGATTTAAGTTGCCCCAATAATCTTGATTACGTTTCCATACTAGGCTGGCAGCTTGGACTTTTTTTTTATTTCTGTTGTGCCAATTTTCTTAGCGATATCATGAAGTATCATAGTAAATGATCTAATATCGAATTGCATTGTGGTAGCTACATTATTTAATTTCAGAGTAGTCATAAAAGTACTATCATTATCATTATGCGTGTTCTCAGTTAAGTTTTTGACATTAAGATCATTAACATAATTGTCTTTGGCAGTGCCAACTTTGTCTTCAACGATTTCTTTAATATTCATATTGCAATTATTATTGTTAAATCGATTTTGGTCATCGTATTGTATTTGTTTTCCCTCGTTATTATCAAGCCATGTGTTGTTTCTATAGTTATTAGAATTATTATCATACTGCCTATAATTGTTTTCTAAAATTGTTATTGTTGTTATAATTTCTAAAATTATTATTGTTGTTATAATTTCTATGTTATTGTTGTTATAATTTATAAAATTATTATTGTAATTTCTATTCCTATCATTATAATTATTATATCTATTGTCATCATTTTGTCTAAATTGTTTCTCAAAAATTGAATAGGTCTGTAATAATTATTATTCTCATTCTTACAATTATATATAGGAAAAGTGTTGTTAAAAGTATATTGGTTACTTGAAAACCTATATGAATTCCAGAGTTGTTAAAAGATCGAATCAAAAGATCGACGATCCTGGATTCGATCGCAAATTTGTCAATTTTACGAAATTTATGATTCTGACTTAAATTGAGGATCGAGATCATTTTGTTTAAAATTCGATCCCGATCTTTTTAAAAATTAATTTTTTACTTAAAAAGCAATAAATAAAATATAAATTTTGAAAATTAAATTAAAATATTATTTTTTAAACAAATATCTATCTTCATATTTTATCAACTTCCATTCCACCATTTATTTTATAGATATATTTATTCATTTCCTAAATTTTACGAGATTTAGAGCTCTTACAAGTTATTTAATATAAATTTATAATAATATATTAATACTATTGATGTAACAGCAGATATAAGTGAGAATGAGAATCTTTTACCATTTTTGAAATTACGTAAGTATTTTACTTTATGTGAAATGGA